GAGGGAGGGAGGGAGGGAGACTTCTGCCAGCTTCCCACTAGCAAAGTCAATGGGGAAGCCAGCAGCGAGCCACAAGTCGCTCATACTCCCACTGCTTTTTGGCCCTTGGTCATTCTCTTTCTCTGTTTAGGTAAGGAAATATCTCTGAAATGATGACCCAGCAGGTCACATGTTGTCTAGTATTTATCTACTGATAACATCCAAGTACTGAAAAACAGTTGCCTTTGTAAAAATTGCATATTCTAATGCAAATATCATGAAAAAATAGTAAAAACTATGGAAGAATTAGTACACGAAACAATCACTGACATTATATTGTATTGCCAAAAGAATTATTCTGGTATATCATTCAAGATCAGGTTGATTTATGTAAACACACTTCTATAAAACCTATTATTAACTTAATCAACCAAGCTATTGGTCATATTCCAAGGATGGATTAGAAATTTGCCACACTTGCTTTCCAGACCACCCTCCAACAACAGGCAGACTGATCTGAAAAGTGGCATGCCCCATATGAGATAGAAAGAACAATATATGGTAAGTGTCTTAGACTATAATAAGAAATATAGATTTACAGAGATTAAGCCACTGAATACAAAGTTAAAGGGACAACTGCTGAATGAAGCTTAGTTAACTATGTACAATAGTTGTAAACAGCCCTGAACAGACAACACTAAATGCTATTAGGACAGTGGTAGTCTTAAAACAGCACCTCAAGTTACCCATAAGAGACTGAAAAATTAAAGAAACACATGATATATTTAAAATGTGGACCACTATAAAAATTTAATGATTAAGAACATATAATTTTATAAAGCTAAGGAGATGTTTAATGAATGAGACATTAGGAATAACCATTTGTATAAATGCAATACAAATCTGTTTACTCTTCAAAATTGAAATGTGTAATATGTATACATTACAATAAGGTTATATGTTAAGTATTACCAGGCATTCCCAATACTACAAAAACACCATTTTCATTTAATATTTACATAATACAAAAAAACAGAAATATGTGTTATCCACTTCAGTTTGCTTACTGGTGTCATAAGTTAAATCTATTACCTACATAGGATAATTTAGATAGTGAATAAGCACTGCAATTCCATCTAAAGCAAATGGTTTATTTAGGCATATGTTAGGATGCTATCTGAGCACACTAGAACAGGCATTATCACTGTTTTTCAGCCAAACTGCAAAGCAGCTATTATCACATAGACAATAATGTGATGCTATATAGCTCTCTCAACATTTGGGCCTTTTTTTGGCCATTCATTTTAGGCATATGTTAGGATGCTATCTGAGCACACTAGAACAGGCATTATCACTGTTTTTCAGCCAAACTGCAAAGCAGCTATTATCACATAGACAATAATGTGCTGCTATATAGCTCTCTCAACATTTGGGCCTTTTTTTGGCCATTCATTTAATCAAGAAACCTATATAAACATCTATTAACATTCAATTTTACAAAGTTTACAAGCCAGTAGATGCTCCACAAGAAGCTGGCAAAGAAAAAAGGGAACTTGTTTAATAATATTATAATCATACAAGGAATAAACTGTCTTTACAGGCTCAAACTGCTTGGCCCTGTTAATAGGCTTGTTTAGAGAGCTATGAAATTTTAGAAGCAAGGTCCACCTACCTTTACAATGTGTCACACGACGCTTCCCTTGTGGTTACAGAGACAGAGATAGAAGTGCTAGATAAAGATGTATTCAAGAACAGTCAGGCTCATCTAAATCCCTGCTTTGTGGATTACCCAGCTGCATTATTCTATGGTCAATGCAGGTAATATGATACGTCCCTATTTTGCATTCATATGGACATGAATAGAAAAAAACCTAAGTACATATGTAAGATAATGCAGTACTTATAATTTTGTGTAGTTTCTGCAGCTTCCATCACCTTTCATAATTCAAATATGCTATCTCAAAAAGCAGATTGTAATGGAAAAGGAATGTCCCAAATTCTGTTCTATTGCTATTGTGTTGAGTAGTATTGGTTCAGGTGATACAAATTAAGATTTGGTGTTCTATGTCAAACAATTGTATAATCAAGTGTAAAAGAGACCTGCACAGTAAAAAGTAAAAATAAATTTGGATTTTCTTATAAAAATAATAGTTGTTCATTAATTTGATATTCTTAAAAAAAGATCTAATGCTTCAAATAGTCCAGCCCACTCCAAATTAAATATAAGCTTTCTGTGAGAGTTTTTGTTTGAAAGCCAAGCTCAGATGTTTTGTCAAATACTCGCTCTCAGCCCATATTGCCAGGGTTATCAGAAACTGGGGAAAGATATTTATAGGAAAAAAGAGCAGATGGGAGAGAACCTGTTTAACACCACCCCTTCCTGCCAATTCTGCCCTCAGGGTACTCTTTCACACACGTATCTCCACTAGGCTGATCTCTAGTTCTGGAGTTAATCCTGGATGGGTGTAGATTTAAAATATCAGAATGGCATTTAACAGGGAGACTCAAGAGGCACAGTCTAGCACCTGACTGGCAATGTATACAGCCAGATATTGCAATTTCATAATGATCATACAGAACTGTTTCTTCTAAAACAATGTGCTCTCTTCTCCTTAAAACAGTCCTCCTGATTTACAATTTTGTTCCTCAACTGGTTGTCTGGATTACACTGACATGGTATTACTGTCCATATGCAATATCCACAGATTCTTTTGCAGACTGTGTAGTATCAGCCACAGAATATTCTCCTTGATCAGCTCCTACATCATTACTATGTTGTGGAAATCCATACTGAACAAAACCATTGAATTAAGACATATAGTTTGTTTGGGTCTGGCATGTTACATGAACACAGTAACTGTGTTCCATTAACCCAGGTTTATGGGTTTAGCATTATTGTGTGGATCCAGCCATTTTACTGGAATTGCACCTTTCCGCTAAGGAGCATGGTGGTTATATCAAGTCATTTTATTCTGTGGGAAGGACAGACAAATACTTAAATTACTAAACAAACTGTAGACTTCTTTTAAGACTAGTAGCAAGATAAATAGCAAATAAAAAGTATAAACTTATAAACTTAATATGGTAATGTAGTTTGTTAAAATGTGAAGTTTATTGCAATTTGTTAATCACTATAATGTAGTCTAGACCATGATTTAGTAACAAAAGTATAATAATTCGGCTAGCCAGTCATCTAGAGAAAGCCTTTCAAATATTCACATTCATAATAAGAATAAAAGTTATATATTTTTATGAAACAAAGAAAACAAAATAATTACCTGCACTGAACATTGGTTCCTTGGGTTTGCTGTAAAAACAATTAAGGAAGATTATCTTAAATAACACTGAACCATACATCCTTCCTTCCAAGCATCCTCTCCTTGAATACCCCATCTACTTTTGATTAATTCTTCTCCTTTACTATCATCATTCATTCTAAATCCCTCTTATCATTCACTTTAAATCTATCTAATCTAATCTAATCTAATCTATCTAATTTCTACCCCGCTGCAATCAAATGACTTTCAGAGGCTTACATAGAATATAAAAAGTTAAAATATCGACAGTCTGATTAAAACCCCAAACAAAAGTAACAGTAAAGAATCATATTTTCCCCCCTTTTTTCTAAAAAAGGAAAAAAAAAGATGGCATCATGTACAAGCTAAGAAAGTGCCTTCTGAGATTGTCTGGTCTTCAACATTTTCCTAAAAACCCTAACCTGATCTCTGTCAGGAGGCTGTTCCAAAGCATCAGCGTAACCACAGAAAGGCAGTGCTATTTGGCTTCGGACCCCTAAACTTCTTGGAAATGTGAGACCGTAAGTAGCTTCTTCCTGGATGTTCCAATAAGTTGTGCCAATGCTAGTTGAAGTACATGGTCCTGTAGTTATCCAGGTGCCAAGTCATAAAGGGTTTTATAGTCTAAACTAGCACTTTAAGTTGTACCCACAAACCAATCAGCAATCAGTGCAGGGTCTACAAAATTGGTGTGATGTGCTCCTATTATTGAGTGCCAATAAATATGCAGGCTGCCACATTTTGGTCCAGCTGTAGTTCCGAGTAGTCTTTAAGGACAGCCTTAAAGAACCCTGTAGTACTCTGTGTGGTAATATGAGAATGAGTTATTGTAGCCAGGTCCTCCAGCACCAGGTAAGACCAAACTGGCCCACCAGCCGCAGCTGGGCATAGACTCCATGGCTTCCACCTGCTGTTCAAGCAGAAGCTATGAGTCCAGAATGCCTACCCCCAAGTCATGAACCTGTTCCTTCACAAGTACCTGCTCATGGCTTCCAGGGAAGAAATGGTGAACTGAAGACAGCTTCAGTGAGAGCGGAGCTGACAACCGTGGCAGAATGAAGAACCGGCAAATGGACTGGCTCTTTGCAATTCCTCTCTGGACAAGGGGAGGACTTGGGTTTGCCCACAAGTGCTCCAGACAGTTGCTCCTTGCAAGGAGACTGCAAGACAGCAGTCTCCAGTGGGTTTAGAGTTCTGGGAGAAGAGGGAACACCATCTTAGCCCAAACTGCGGTTGGTATCTTTATGGACACAGGATTCACATGCTTCCTTTTCTAATCACTTTTGGAAATTGCTTTTTAACTGTTTTTCAGCTATTAGGAACCTTCAGACAGACAAGTTGTATAGCACTGGATGAGTTTCTTTCAATCCTTAATGAAAGAAGTTTTAAATACAAGTTTAAGGACTTTAAAAAATTCTTTTTTTGGAATAAACAGCAAAAAGGTGATTAGAATGTTGATTTTGGAAAGTTACAAATGGACTAGGGATCCAGATGGATTTGAAATAAGATTTTGAAATTAATTATAAGAATCCGTCCCATGGGAAAATGCTGTTGTTTTGTATTCTTAAAAAAAAAATCACAGAATGAGACTTTGAAGGTTGGATACTAGAGGGAACCAGAAGGAATTTAAGAGTATAATTAAAGAAAAGAACACTTAAATTTGACTTACTAATACAGAATAGAGCAAAACTTTAACATTGGACAATATTTGTGAACAATGGACTCAGAAGTTAAATTTAAAAGTGTCTGCCATTTTAGACAAATTGTGTTTAAAAGATGGACAATTTTACTGGACAAGACTGAGACTGATTTGAAAGTGGATTTAAAAATGAGGGCTACAAGAATAATATGGAAAAGATGCTATATTGGATATACAAATGAAACCAGCTGATGTCTTAATAATTAAAAGGGATATATAAATAACAAACCAAAAGAATGACCTGGATAACTTTCCTATATTAGATTTACAAAAGAGACTTATTAAAGTTTTGAAGAATTTTATGAGAAGGGATAAAGAAAAAATGAAAAGAAAACAAGTTCTAGGACATTATTTGAAGAGATTAAAGATCAAGATTGTTAAAAGTAAAAGAAAGGAATGTAA